ACATAGGTTAAAACGTGGAGGTCTCTTTGGATGTGTCATGACCAAACGATTATTTATACCAATTTCTTTCAATGGTTTTTTTCCCAATTTTGAGTGGAGTATAAAATCGTAACTTCATATTGAAGAAGTCTCACGCAAACCAAAATTTTGGTTCATCTCTCAGCTCTCAAATGTCTAAGATTCATCCTCTCATAATACTCAATAGTAGCCATGAAGCTCCTTCTAGCTCTACTGCTAGTACTTCATCGTGTTCTAACAAGTACATGACTTCAAAGAGAGAAACATTCACCATATGGATGAAATCGCTTGTGATGCAAGGAAACGGATGCACTGCGTTTGATGAAAGTGGAGAGATCGTTTATCGAATCGATAACTACGACAACAAGCACAGCAACGAAGTTTATCTCATGGATCTCCGGGGCAAGCTTCTCTTCACTGTTCGTGAGAAGAAAATGTGTGGTTTTCTAAGCTGGGAGGGCTACAAAAGCAACACTTTTGTTGGTGCCAATAGGCCAATGTTTCGAGTGAGGAAAAGTTGTAGAGGAATTCTTGGAAATAATGAGTGTTCTTATAAAGTAAGCATGGGATCTGAGACCAGTTGCAGCTACAAGTTAGAAGCCTTGGGGGGGAAATCATCAGCATTTAGAATTACAGACAGCAATGGAGGATTTGTAGCAGAGGCAAAGAGAAAGCAGTCAAGTTCAGGAGTTGTATTGGGAGATGATGTGCTGAGTTTGGTGGTGGAGGCTCATGTAGATCACTCCCTTATCATGGCCCTTGTCACTGTTTATGGATTAATTAGACATCAATTATGAGCTTTACATCTTTAGAGCTAGTAACTCTGATTTCTTTTTCTTTTTTTCGTTTTTGGTCTATGTGAATACGACCGATTTTGTGGTTAGCAATGTTGTTACTCATGGGGTTTTTTCCTCTCGTTTCCTTTTGTTGAAATTTTTCCTGATATTATTGTACATTTTTATTGAGATTTTGTGGGATTGAGCAGGTTAATTCAGCCTAATATTGTACATTTTCCATTTTCCTATACAGCAAGCTAATATTTCATGTATTAACAGAACCCAACAATGCTTTAAGCCTGGAATTTAACTAATAACCTGACAGAGGACCTCTCTCTCTCTCTCTCTCTCTCTCTCTCTCTCTCTCTCTCT